CAGCCAAGGTGCAGCTTCCCTCTATCCACCCAGAATAAACATTCTCAGCCTTGTTATGGCCAGACAGGTCCCTCAGCCCAAAAAAACTTCACTCTATCTAGATTTTAGAGGGATGACAGCTCACACAGGCTACGGTACTGCCTCGACCAGTACCATCTTTTAATAGATTTGCATCTGGGAATGAGATGAAGTCTCATTGTACCAACAGTTGCAGAAGGGGACAGCAGCTCTGTCAGCCTTTCTCAGGTTTTTTGCCCCCCTTAAGAGCTCCTTCACACAGAGGGAGGTCCCCACCTGCCATTTAGAGGCACTCTCAAGTCATCCCATGCCTAAACATTTTACCTGCACATAAAGATACTAAAGCAAGTTTCAGTGAGTCAGCCTCACAGAACGGATATACAAAACTATCATCATTTACCCTCTCTGGCCACATCATGTTACGCCTGCACTAGTGACAACCATTTCAACCACATGAGGCATGTATTTCAGCCGTAACTACGAACCCAAATATGAAATGAGGTCCTGACTCATCCCACCGGAGGCATCTGAAAACTACATCCACAGTAAAGTCTCCCTATTGCATGGCCAGTGAGCACAGACAAGACATCTCCTGTGGATGTTACAGCCCTGAGGACACACATGATTCTCTGGGCATCAGCACTTTGTATTTTTGACTGTGCAGCTACGACCCTTCATCTACACAAGTTCAGCTCTCCCTGCTGCAGACAGAGAAGCAACACTGACGCACACACAGATAAATATCAGAAAGGCACCAGGATCAGCTTCATCTTATCTGGGGCAATCTTTCAGCCATATAATGAAATAAAATTCTCTCAGGGACCTTGGAACAAAATGTTTTTTTGGTCTAGCAAATACGCCTCTTCCTGGAGACACCAGCAGGAGCAGGGCCACCCTGAACTCTGTCGACTGCTTCACAGCTGCAAGCTTCAGGCAAAGCAGCATTCAGCTGCGTACGCCTATTAGGGCTATAATACCAGAAAAAGAAGTGGAACAGACAACCAAGGTAATTTAATCTAGCAAGATAATTCACTTACAGTACTACCCACCACCCCCTCCTGCTGCCCCATATGAATCAGAGACAAGTGCCCAGCTTTTTCCTAATGGAAGGGGAATTGTATGCCTATTATCTTTATCCTTCACTCCACACAAACTGTAGAAATGTTTGTATCTGATTCTGTGCACACAGACAGCTTCCTCAGAAGGAGCTACGTTGCTAGTACTGTGAAGTAGGATGGAGAGCTGAATTGGGCACCTATTACTTAAGGCAACTCTCTCAAGTCAGATTTAACTTTCTGGATGTTTTTTCTTGTTGTTGCGTTGGTTATCAGAAGCATGAAGCTCAACATGTCAAGCCACACAAGAAGAAAGACAGTCCTCTATTGCCCTCTGTCCCCACCCTGGGGGCATGTATATAGGATATACACAAAACACCTCCTTTCCCTGCAGTGACTTTAGACATAAAAAACAGGAAAACTCCCCCTACTCTGAGATTTTCCCAGTGAGGTGTCACCTTTTATCCCTTCTGCAGACTACTTTTCAGAGCAAGTATTTATTTAAAGTATTCCCAGTCCACAAATAAGAAAATAATATCTGAAGCTATGGAAGTGCGTAGGCTCCTTGAAAGTCAGGACGTGATACAGATTATTAAAACCTACACATAAGACTGTTCTTCACTCTGCAGGTTTTCCATTCACTACTTCTTACATTCAAAGTAAGTCTGTACCTTAAGTGTGCAGTTGTGTAAGCCTGATGGACAGTAACCTACCCATTCCTCACCTGAAGGGTTGCCAGCACTTTCGTGGAATCGGGTTGGGGACGTCAGCTACACTCCCTCCTTCCCACAAGGGATAACGCACAGTCTCTCACACCTGCCAAGAGACTGAATTAATAATTCCTAATAATGGCAGGCTTTCACTAGATCTCCTCCATAATTCTTAATCTGAAATTTGTATGAAGTCTTACCAGTGAAGGATGTAGTTGCTTAGCCCTGACCCTGTTGGCGCATCACCAGCAATCTGCAGGTGATTTCCCAGGCAAGCTGGGAAAGTGGTTGTCTGTTATGAAGTGCCAGGAAAGGGAGGGAAATTTGAGTTGGATTTTATGCATTTTTAGCACACAACTGTCAGTGAATGTAGACAACTCAAACTTCTCCTCTGACCCTTTCTTGCTTTAGCAAGGATGGGCTGCAGAGCATGACTGAATGCCTTCCAGAGCTCCCACTTTCCTATCACTCAGGTTATCCGTCTGAGCTCCCTGCACGTCACCGGAGCTTTTTTGGGCCACTAACAAGATATCATTGATGTTGTCACTAGAACAATCACCCCTGAAGCACAATATGACGATTGTTTCCCCAACTCACGTTCACAGCACATTTGTTCCAGTTGGCTTGAAAATGAGAGGATGAGACAGGCTAGGTTTTCCTGCTCAGTAGATTTTTGCTCCAATCTAATTAAAACATCGAGCAATTCACTCAAGTTTCTTGCAAACTGCATATGTCCCAGGCTTTAAAATAAGCTCTGAAAGAAAACAGCCTATTTTTTAGTGGTGGTGCTTTGTTTTGCTTTGTTTGTTTTGTTTGTTTTTAAATACACTTCCCAGATGGAGAAATTTCTTTGTGATACCATACCAAAACTGTTAAATCAGGAAAGCTAAGCTTCTTCTGATCTATCTCGGTTTTATTGTTACTGCTAATGTGATTTTTTTTCTTGTCTAAGAGCTAACAAGGAAAGCCACTTTTGGTGCTCTGACAGGCAGAGAAGTGACAGTACAGCTCACTGGAAACAGGCAGCTCCGGTCACCTTGGTCTAAAACTGGGTCAGGGACGCCAGCTTACAGTTATACCCAAGAAACATGCAAGGAACACTGGGAATTCAAATGCTGACGACAAGACCACTGCTTTCTTGCAGGCACAATTCAGGTAGTTAAGCTCTAATGTTCTGAGAGAAGGCAGCCTCCTCACAACTAAGGCATTTTTTTATGCATAATTTTTTCAAAAGGCCCCAGTTCTGGGAAATGTCAGGGGATCTATGCAAACAGTCTAGCCATGCCCCACACTGCTGTACCACCTTAATCCAAAGGCAAGTCACTGCTGGGAGATGGCAACTGCTGTGCATTATGGTGATGCTCGTGGCAGAACGTGCCCGATGCAAAGTCGATCCGGATCCACAGACTACACAGACAAAACGCTTTGTGCTTGTAACTGTATCCCTGATACTGAAAACAGACCTTTTGCCTGCCAAGAGTCACTCCAACCTCAGGAACTGTAGCTGAGCATGGTGTACACCAAAAGGAAGGCTCTTGCCATCAAGCAGGCGCTAATGGATCCTCTGGACTGTCTAGGTATGAGACCATCAGCTCCTAAATTCAGCCTTTCTCAAGAACTATTCCTAAATGCCTGTTGTCATCTCCAAAAGCAGAGCACCCTTAAGCTGTACAGCTGAGAACAAACTCCTTCAGGGTTTTAACAACCAATTAAGGGATGTGAAGCAATTACTTTTATACCCATACAAATGAAACTCTTCCAATGCAATTAACTATCCCTTATCATCTACTGTTGAATTTATGGAAAGCATATGCTGTACACTCTCTCCTCCTCTAGCTTTTCCACAATTTTAATCAGTTTGTTTTAGCTAATGTAATGGAACCTACCTATTCTAGAGAAATAATATATGGCTGCAAATTATCTGAATATTTTTAAATGTCTTTTTTTCTTTTAAAATGTAATTTCATTTGAGATTTTGCAGCTTTCATTTCTATTAATAAATGATCATTTCTTCTTTATCAGTGATGAGCTGGTGTGTCATGTAATTTTTTCCTCTAAAAAGACCAAGACTTTGATCTAATGCAAGCCCTTCCTGGGAGTAGAGAGACTTTCTGTCTAATTTAGTTATGAAAAATATTCAATTAAACTTGGGAGTTTAATACATTTAGTTATGAAAATTAAATGAGCTCAATAAGGTACATTTGACTGACCTCAGGAAAAAAAAAAAAAAAAGAAGAAGGGAGAACAAAAGTAAGTTTTACTGCTCACATTGAAAGGCGCATAACATAAAAAGCCTGAGTTCTGTTTTGTGTGCCTACATAAAACATATTCACAATGAATTCATGCAATATTTATATTTAGAAGCCACACAAGTATCTGGTATTAACACCCTAATTGTCTCCTGTGTAACAAAATCCCTCTAGGTCATGATTCAGTCCATCCCAGTCAGGGGAAGACCTGATTCCTCACACCAGGAGGACACCACCCACACACATATCTTCTCCATCTCTGCTTAGGGAAAAAGGAAAACATTGGAATTCTTTTTCAAGACCGGAACAGAGTGACATGGATCTCTCTGACATAGGCTCCCTCCTAGTTTTGCAGCCACCACTTACCATTTTTGCAGATGGGACAGCACTGGTCGGGCTCATACACCGGATCCACACACTCTGTCTGGGGACACGCCGAGACCGTGCACAGCACTTCACCATTGGCTTCACAGCGACACTTCTCGCAGGGAGAAACCTGGAACACAAATCCAGTCAGCTTTTAACTCTTCCACTCAATGCTCTCCTCAAGTGTACCATGCCTGTCTTCCCATCTGCACTGCTCTTTCCTTCATTTGTTTTTCCTCCTCCCTTTAAAAAATGCTTTTTGTGGGCTGAACAATGCAGAGGGAAGCTGGGCTCCTGAAAAACTACAGAACCGCAGCAGAAAAAAACACAGGTTCTGGTCTGAGCCTGCACACTAAATGGGAAAGTCAAAGGGATCTTGGGAACAAGAACATTTTAGACATTTAACTTAATTATTAGAGCAAAAATTTCCTTACCACATTTCTAATGAAATTCCCCCAAATTAAGTTAATAATTCAGATGAAACCTAGTTTGATTCTATTAGAGGTTCAAAACGTTATATAGCAAAAAACCATTGTATTTAATGAAGAATTTTTTTTTCTAAATTAAATACGAAACTTCTTTTAATGGAAATCCTTCTAGCGATTTTTCAAGGTTTGAAAGCTTAGTAGTAGCAGGCAGTTACATTTTATTGCAAGTATTATTTTCAAAGGCAGAAAAAAATCACCTTTGAATTCAGGTACTTCCCACAGGTTAATTGTATTTGGACCATTCTTGTAATACCTGTAACTTGCCGAAAAGAAACTGGAATTCAAAGAAAGGGGTGAAGCAAGATACAGGGCATCCTTTTTACTTACTGAAACATTACTGGTTTGGAAAAAACTCTACAGAATAGGAGCACCATGAGATAAATTACTTAAATTATCTACTTCAATGAAGTTAATTCTCAACAAAACAGCATCAAGGCTCTGCTTAAGAAAAAATAGACTTTCAAATGTCTGCATTTGCCAAATGCACAACTCCAGCTGTTCTCTTCATTGTTCCTGACCAGGTGCTGAACCTGCATTGCTAACATCCTCTTACCACATAAGCAGCCAGAGATAAATGGAAGCAAGGGCGGTAAAGAGCAATAAAATATATCCTATAAATCTCACTGTTGTACTGCAACAAACCACACTGGTATATCCATGTCCAGAGCACCTGATGATCATCAGCAACCTGATCTAGTAGGAAGTGTCCCTGCCCATGCAGCAGGGTGGAACTAGATGATCTTTAAGTTCCTTTCAATGCAAACCACTCTATGAGCCTATGTAACTGTGCATCAGGCTACTGAGCAACTGACATCATCTACCTGGACCGGTGCAAAGCATTCAACACTGACCTGCATGATATCCTAGCCTGAAAACTGGAAGGATATGGATTCAATGGACGGGCCACTCAGTGGATAAGGAATTGGCTGGATGGTGACACTCAGAAAGCAGTGATCAATGGCTCTCTGCCCAGATGGAGACCAGTGATGAGTGGCATTCCTCAAGAGTTAGTACTGGGACCAGTTCCATTTAACATCTTTGTCAGTGACATGGATAGTGGGATTGAGCCCACCCTCAGCAAGTTTGCTGACAACACCAAGCCTTGTGGTGTCGTTGACACACTGGAGGGAAGGGAAGCCATCCAGAGGCACCATGACAGCCTTGAGAGGTGGGCCCATGCCAACCTCATGAAGTTCAACAAGACCAAGTGTAAGGTCTTGCACATGGGTTGGAGCAATCCCAAGCACAGATACAGGTTGGGTGGAGAATGGATTGAGAGCAGCCTTGAGGAGAAAGACCTGGGAGTGCTGGTCAATGAAAACCTCAACATGAGCCAGCAATGTGCACCTGCAGCCCAGAAATCCAACCATATATTGGGCTGCATCAAAAGAAGCGTGGCTAGCAGGTCAAGGGAGATGATTCTCCCCCTCTCCTTCACTCTCATGAGATCCCCCTTGGAGTACTGTGTGCAGTTCTGGAGCCCTCAACACAGGGAGGATGTGGACCTGTTGGAACATGTCCAGAGTGCCACAAAGATTAAGACAGTCTGAGAGAGTTGGGGCTGTTCAGTCTGGAGAAGAAAAGCTCCAGGGAGACCTTACAGCTGCCTTCAAGTACCTGAAGGGGGCCTACAAGAAAGCTGGGGAGGGGCTTTTTACCAGGGCGTGTAGTGATAGGACAAGGAGTAATGGTTTTTAGCTGGAACAGGGTAGATTTAGGTTAGACGTTAGAAGAAATTCTTTATTGTAAGAGTGGTGAGACACTGGAACAGGTTGCCCAGGGAGACCGTGGATACCCTTTCCCTCAAAGTGTTCAAGGGCAGGTTGGACAGGGCTTTGAGCAACCTGGTCTAGTAGGAGGTGTCCATGTCCGTGTCCGTGTCCATGCAGGGGGATTGGAACTAGATGATTTTAGAGGTCCCTTCCAACCCAGACCATTCTAGGATTCTATGATTCTATGATCAGTGATCCTTCAAAGCCACTATCTGTGCAGACTCCAGGTCTACTTAAGGATCAATTTTTATTGACCCTTTTTCATTCCAGATTGCAGTTCATGTGAAACAACCATGTGCTGCACTTCTCCAATGAAAGCAGAATAAACTCAAGTTCTAAAACAAATTATTCTTTGTGAAGAATTATCCAGACATCTAACTTGCACATCATCTGATTTCTTCTCCCTATCTCTTAGGCAGCTCATCACATTTTTCCTCAAATCCATTCTCTGCTTGCTTTCCTCTTCACATCCTTCTCACCTCTAAGTTCAAACATGCTAATGCTTGCACAGCACCATCTCCAACTAAATGCTCACCCATGCTTTGCTACCTCTTTTTCCCACCTGCCAGGGCTCTTATTTGCTTTTGCACTCACAGATCTTCTCACCACATCCCCTCTTGCTTAGAAAGCTTTAATAGGGTCTCTTTCTGTGTTGCTTTCTGCATTTATTGCTATTATTTATTTCAGCCTTCCTTTGCCAGCTACTCACTTCCAGTTTTCTTCTTGCTTTACACTCTACACAGGATAACACCACACCATACTTTTATAAAATGCTACAAGGAGGCTAATGGCCAAGTACTGCAGATTTTTCTTACAAGATTTGGGACGAGAACTTTGTTCTTTAATTGTATATTAACTGCCAAGTCCACTTGTAACTCTAGAGTTATATCCAGAAATAATACTTACTAGGTTATGAAAACTTGCTTTTTGCAGATAACTGATTTTTTTTTAAATTAATCCTACTTGATGAATGCTACTAGAACTCCATTCCAAGGATCACAGTCAACAAGGCAAACCTTTAGCTTTCAATTAGTTTCAACATTTTTTGCCATCTCTTGATGTACTGGATTTGCATGGCAAGGTTTTGGGTGGTTTCTGTGAGAAAATGTTAGAAGCTTTCCCCATGTCCAACAGAGCCAATGCCACCTGGCTCCAAGACAGACCCGCTGTTGGCTAAGGTCACGTCCAGTAGTGATGGTGGTAGCATCTCTGGAATAATATAGCTAACGAGGGGGAAAAAACTGCACAACAACCTGCAGCTGGAGAGAGGAGTGAGAATGTGTTAGAGGAATAACTTTGCAGACACCAAGACCGGTGCAGAAGCAGAGGCAGGAGATGCTCCAGGAGACAAAGCAGAGAGTCCCCTGCAGCCCCTGCTGAAGACCATGGTGAGGCAGGCTGTACCACTGCAGCCCATCCATGGAGGAGCTGATATCCACCTGCAGCCTGTGGAGGACCCAACACCAGAGCAGATGGATGCCCAAAGAAGGCTGCGACACCATGGGAAGCCCATGCTTGAGCAGGTTCTTGGCAGGACCTATAACCCTGTGTAGAGAGAGCCCACACTGGAGCAGCTTTGCTGGCAGGATTTGTGATCCCGTAGGGGACCCACGCTGGAGGAACCTGTTCCTAAAGGACTGTGCCCCATGGAAAGGACACATGCTGGAAAAGTTTGTGAAGAACCGTAGCCAGTGGGAAGGATTCATGTTGGAGATGTTCATAAAGGACTGTCTCCCATGGGAGGGACACCATGCTGGAGCAAGAGAAGGGTGTAAGAAGTTCTCCCTCTGAGGAGGAAGGAGTGGCAGAGACACTTGTGTGATGAACTGACCACAACCCTATTCCCCATCCCTTGTACTGCTGGTGGGCAGGAGGTAGAGAAATCAGGGGTGAATTTAAGCTGGGGAAGAAAGCAGGGGTGAGGGAAAGGTGGTTTTAGGATTTGTTTTTACATCTCATTATCCTACTTTGATTTGTTGGTAATAAATTAAACCTTCCCTGAATCAAGTCTCTTTCGCCCATGACAGAAATTGCTGTGTGATCTCTCCCTCTCCTTAATTCATGAGCCTTTCATTATATTTTCTCTCCCCTGTCCAGCTTAGGAGGGGAGTGATGGAGTGGCTTTGGGGGCACCTGACATCCTGCTAGGTCAACCCACCACACTTGAAAATGATGCAAATTTGCCAGTGATCACAGTTCAACAAGACCAGTAACTACAACAACATCTATTCCCCCTCCCAGGACTCCACTTAGTAGCTGTGCCATTCAATATTAGAAGTAATGAAAAACTGGAGTATCTGATGATAATCAGAAACAAGACAGCACACAGATGGTATTCTTAAAATCTCTCATCTCTAAAATTTAAATATATTCTAATTAAGTAGGTTGTTTACTAGAATTTCAGATTTGACAGAAGCCTAAAATCTCTAGAACAAGAAGCCATTTAATAAAGCATTGAAAATACTATTGAATGAGCAACAAAACTGATCTAGTATTTATCTAATAATGATGTTTCAGAATAATGCATTTCCATCCTACACAGTACATACACTTGAAGACTACATCTTTCATAAACACAGGATACTGTTAATGTGATACTGCAGTCACAAATACCCTTCCTGTATAACAAAAGAACATGGGATTTCAGGGGAATAACTATACTACACCTTTAAGAAGTACTACTGTCAGTACAACCCACCAACATGAGTAATGGTGGCAGAGTTAAGGAAGGTCTCCATGTGCTTATTTCTACAAAGCTCTTTTCAGGCACTTAAGTGAACCTCTGTCACCACAGTGGCTGCTGAAATGGTATTAGTGTCAACCTTTAGCTGTTATCTTTGGACTAAACAGTAGTGTATTGCTTTCTATCTATCATCAGGATGCAGCAAGAACTGTAGAAAAACCCCACTTCTTAACACCTTAACAGCAGCTTAGTACGTGGAGACATTATTATCACTAGAGAAACAATAAGACGGTGCATATATGTAACAACAGCTAAACATTCAGAATGAAAAGACACATTTGGTCCTTCATTTCCTCTCTTCTACTTCTCTAACACAAGTGCATTCCCTGCAGTGCAGTTCCTTGTGGCAGCAAATGCAATGAGCATCCCACTTGTTCATGTGGGAAACAACCTGCCCAGGAGCAGTCATGTTTCATGCATCTGACATAACCAGGCTGGACTGGAAATAATACAACCTATCAACCTCTCTCTGAAGACTAAAGATACCATGCCTCTGTGGTCTATGGATGAAGCCAGTAAGTCTACAGCAGCCACAGTTCTGCCTATGCAAAAACTGTGGGAAGACAACAAGAGGAACAGAAGTCTTAAGTATTCACCAGGCAGCATAAAACCTGTAGATAATGAGCACAGATGGCAAAAATCCCCACCTTGTTTAAAATTGTTTAAATGGAAGTTTATGAGCAGATGTATAAATGGACTTGCAGACATAAAACCCACACCATTGTGTAAACAGGTAGATTTCCCACTATTGGGGCATGAAGAAAACTGTAGCTTAGTAAGCATAGGAGGTTTATCCAGCAGCTTAATATAAACTGTCATAATTAAAAAGGGACAAATCATTTGCATGCATTGAAATTCCAGTCCAACATAATTCAAGCCTTACCTTCCTCCTTTCCACATGCCAAACTTTAATTAAAACATGAAACAACCCAAAACCAAACCAAAAACAGACCAACAAAAAATCTGTACTAAAAATACATATAATATACATTTGGTTCCTTCAGCCTTAACAACACTGAAGTTAAAAACAAATCCTAATCCCAAACTGATCTGCTATTGTACTGGAATTTTTATTAGCACTTCCTTGCCACTTGCACAACTGAGAACATGAATGGGGTCAGATTGAGAAGAATACACATATATGTTTTGGTTTTACTTATCTATGTCTTCAAAATACCACAGGTGTTTAACAAAACATTTGGGTTTGTTGTCTTTCAGATTTCTAAGCTATTCACAAATAAACATAAATGTTGGTAGGACAGAAATCCAAATAAAACATGCAAAGCAATAACTTTCAAAAAAAATGTAGGTCTTTACTAAATCATATTACACTCCTGAATGGTCCTTGTAAGGCTTCACATTGTTGTATTACTTTACTGTATATTTACTGTATTACTTTATAAGTCAGCCTGTATTTTCAAATCTTACTGTAAGACTGAAAAACATCTAGTGGAGCTCAGCAACTTCCAGTTCCAGTGCAGGATTTTATCCTCATTGCATTTCACCAACTAAGGCTTCTGCTCCCAGTTACACCTGAATGGATACTGTGATCCCTCTGCCATCCTGCCTCATGATATCCTCAGGACAGTAGAGTGGTGTTGATGGAAACAGCTTTATGACACCTCATCCTTCCCCTGCACCTGTGTTCATTTTTGTATAGACATCCATGTCTTTTTTTGAAAACAAAAAACCACATGCATATATAAACACAGGTGAAGCCTGCAGGAAGGACTGTGAATTGAAGAAGAAATGCATCAAACCTCCCATTCCCTGACTCACTCAGCCTCTGAGTTAGCACTGGCTCAGGTCAAGGCAATTTTTTGTCATACCAAGCCATTTATGAATTTCATATAAGCAAACTGCCAAACTTGCATGCATATTTATGCATCTATGTATAAATCTTTGTGCAGATAACATCACTTAAACATTAGGTGGGAGGTCAGCTTTTTCTTCCACTGGTAGTCTTTGCCACAAATAGTAGGTACAGACACAGAGAAAAAAACAGGTCACTATCCACCTGTAACTCCTTCCCTAATCCTAGCAAGAGATTGCATATTAGTAACCTCTCTAAGACCACCAACTTTAAACTTGGAAAATGACCTTTGAAATCATGTGCAATGACTTGCACTTGCACTTGCTTCCACTGAGCAGCAGCAATCTGACTGTATCTGTGCCACTCCTTGACGGACATCTCCACTGACTGCAGTGGCACGGGCAAACAGCTGCATTTACACCTTTCTGCTCACAAGATTGGAACCAACATTGAAACTCTAATGAAAATGAACAAACAGGCTGCAGTTCCACTGCCTAACTTGGTAACTTTCCTTGCCCACCTGGAGCAGGCTTCCCTCCTCACTCATGTTTCCAAAGCTGTCTAACACAAAGCAGGAAAGGAACTGATGTTTCACTAGAGGAAAGTTTCAGCACAAGGGCTAAGGGCTCAATGGGGTTAAAAAGAAAGTTGAGAGTCAAAGTCTTTTCAGAACATTTCTGTAAATGTCACCATTCAGAATTCTCTTTTTACCAAGACTGTCAGCCACGTTCCAATGTAACTAGGGGCCCTATGCTTTCATCCTCTTCTTACACACTTACCACACTAAGGTACTTCAGCCTTGCTTTACAGCCATCCATACACCACCAATATATAAAACCAAAGAAATGCAACTCGTCAAAAGAGCGTGAGGGAAGAAGCCTTTAAAACTTTGATACAGAGACCTACAGAAACTGTGTGCAGAAGCATCTGTTTTGGCCAGCCCTCAGAATTAACTTCTCTGAAAAAGGAAGGATCTCACAATCCATTTCCAAAAAGGTCATGCCAACTAGCCACTGTTAAAAAGTACCTTCTTCCTTTTAAAGCAGAAAACTGCCACCCTGAAGATGAATGCAAACCTTGAGGGTGACATGGAAACAGGGAGAACGGTATGATGCTTCCAGCCACACTATGAAAATCACTAGTGATTTACACATTACTGCCTAAAGAGAGCAAGGGGAAACACTGTGATTTACCCCAGAGAGAGTAACTCTGCTTCTTTCTTTATGTGTCTATTTTTCATTAAGTTGAAGAATGTGAAAATACATTATGCACTAGGTTATATTTCCAAGAACACAAAAATACCACAGACAGCCAATGTGGCAACTTATTTACAACCTTCATAAATACATTTTCTTTTTCTTCACCCTGAGAGGAGCTCCAGCTGTCAGCATCCTGAACTGGACTTGTACTCCCTCAATGCATTCAACTCAAAAATCTCAAGTGTGTTCAGAAATGGGTTTTGAATCAGTTCCATACCTAACAGTCATTTGCAAGCAAATTCTTAGAGCCTGCTCACAGATCTCAGCCACAATAAAATCTACAGAGAAAAAGGCAAGGTAAGCAACCAGGGAATTGATGTTAACTCCAAAACTGTTCAGTGCACTGTAGTAAGTTGCATTTTCAATGATAATGACCTTGCACAGTGGTACTAAAAAGGCTCTCCTCTAAAATGATTTCCCCTAAACCTAAAGCTTTTTCCAGTCCATTGTTTAGGCATCACTGTAATTCAGACTGCAAACCATGCTATTATTAACAGGAGGGCCCACAGTCATTCTCAGAAAGAAAACATTATGCAACCGTGGCAGCACAGTTTAAACAGCAAAAGGTATCATCACAGACTGGTTACTAGGAATAGAAGTCAGCCCACAAAACCCTGCTGGATCCCTGCAAGGTGTAAGTTTCACAGATAACAGTTAACTGAGGAAGTAAATATAAGTCTGGAAATTCTCACAAAGTCCATATCACCACCCAAGTAGCATCCCTTCAAATAACATTTTTTACTGTAAATACCAAAGGAATTAGTGAAAATCAGTCCCCTCATTTGAAAATGTTATAGCATCATAGAGCAAGAAAGGTCATGTTTAAGGGGAATACTTTACAATTAAAGTATTAACGCGGCAATGAAAAGGGGAGGGGGAGACCCAGAACACCCTATGAGACAGCACTTCAGGAACATAACACCCCTTTAGCTGACAGGAGGTCTTGCAGAATCCCTTTTGGCTTCAGCCCTTACCATGAACTCCTCCAGGGTTTGGTAGGTTTTCCCTCGAAACTCGCAGTAGTTCTTCCTCTCCTTGCACTGCGGGCAGCACTGCGTGGTGTCCACATGGACGCAGCGCGGGTGGATCCGGGGGCACTCGGGCTGGATGCACAGCGGGCCCTCCTCGGTGCAGAGGCAGGGGCAGGCGGAGGGGCCCGGCGCGAACTTCTCCCCGATGGCGTAGACGAAGCCGCTCTCGTCCACGCAGCCCTTCCCACGGTAGTCCGGGTAGGCGTACTCCTCTGGGGGCTCGGGAGTGACGCTGGCAACAGCTTCTGGGAGGTCCAGATCTTCGGCCACCTGAGGTTCCTCGGGAGCGGCATCCCTTTGCTCTTGCACTTGGACGCTCCCAGATTTACTGCTCGTCCCCTGGCTGTTCCAAGCCTGCTTTTGCTTAGTCCAAGACTCCTTGTTCGAGTAGTTCCTGTTACCTTTGCTCTTCCAGTCCCTGCTGCCCTCCTCCCTCCCGCTCCTGCCGATCTCACTCATTTTCCCTGGGCCTGTCTGGCTATCCCTTGTAGATGTGTGATCCCTCTTTTCCTGGCTTGCTTTTATCTCCTGTTTGTCTTGAGCCTTGGCCAGTTTTTGTACAGGTATGGTAGAGCTACAGAGGGCAACCATGAGGCAGCAGGTTACGAGAAGAGAACTAGAGAGAGCTCCAATTGCCATTGCAGTAGAACTGGGCATCACCTACTGCATCCCACAGGGGACACTGCACTCACATCGGAGGGAAGCGATTCACAGATCCACAGTCCCTAGGAAGAGAAGGATTAGGAAACACTTCAGCTTCTGCACTTCTTTCCGCCCCCTCTCCCCCACCGATGCAACATCTCAAACGATATGCAACCTGTCTCGGTAGTTCATGCAAAAGGCAAACAACAGCCTGGTGCTGCATCCCTCCTCCTCCCCCGCTCCTGCCAGGTCTTATAAATCGCAGGGCTCTGGACACGGACCGGGCACCTTTGGCTCCCCGCGAGCACCACAGGGAACTCGGGGGAGCTGGGATTTACGAAGGCAGGTGCACGAAGAAAACAGAACACTTGGTTATTTCTCCTGTCAAGTGACAACATGTGAAGGGGACGGACGCATCCCGAATTACATGGAGCTGCCCAAAACACAGCAGAGTCCAGAACAGCAATCAGCCAACTAAGTCCTTTTCCTCTGACTGCACGCACAGCGATTTCATTAACCTTTTCCTCAGCCTGAAGTGCCGTCGTTTCGTTGTTTCGGTTTGTTCGCCAATAGAATCACAGAATCACCTACCGGTGCGCACATTTCTGCGAACAACAAGCACATTTCCGCAAGCAGAGCCGAACTACCTGTCTTGCGAACTACCTAAGCAAGCACACGTCACCTCTTTCTCCCTGTGCTCGAAAGGCAGAGTCGCTAAGTTTCCGCAGCAGAGGCTCATTTAACCCGCACGCTCCAGGAGTTCGGCAACACTCCCGCCTCACCGTCCTCACAGACCCCGCACGCGAAA